TACGTAAGCATCAAACCTTTGAAGTCAGTGTGGAACCGAATGGGCAGCCAATGCAACGCGGCCAGAATAGGAGAAATATGATGGAATTTTCTTGCTCCACTAAGGAGTCTAGCCGTTGCGTTCTGCACCACTTGGGAGTTTCCGCATCAACCTCAAAGGTAGCCCCACATAGAGCGCATTGCAGTGGGCTAATTGCAGTGGTCTAATCTCGAGATTACAAGCGCATGTACCAAGGTAGTGAGCACCCCAACATCGAAATAGGACCGCAGCTGGGCTATCCACTGAAGATGAAAAAAGGTGGTACGGACCACTGACGCCACCTGAGTTTGCATAGTGAGCGCCAGGTCCAGATAGATCCCCAAGCTGCGGACCCCATCCTTGGCGGGAAGAGTCACCCCCCAAAAGAGAGGGAGTTTCCCAGGCCCCCAACTGTGGGGGCGCCCTCCCTCAGTACCTCCGGTCTTGTCCGGGTTCAGCCTCAGCCTGTTTTCCTGCATCCATTGCAGTACAGTCCCCAGGCAGTGCTGAAGGGACAGAATGGCATCTCCTGCGGTTGGTGAAAAGGAAATGTAGAGCTGAGTGTCATCAATGTACTGATGACATAATGCTCCACACCCCCTGATGACCCCACACAGCGGCCTCATATAGATGTTGAACAGCATTGGGGAGATGATCGACCCCTGTGGGACCCCACAATTGAGACCCCATGGGGCCGAAAAACTCTCCCCAAGCTGTAAGTTTGCAAAAAATAAAAAAAAATTATGACACACATGATTTTAGTTCAAAATGTAGTGTCACAATATGTTCCTATCCAAAGTAGCTTAACTGTTATATCCGAGCTTTCAAAATAAAAAGCAAGAAAGCATGCTGCTTATATACCACCCCATAGCACTTCAAGCACTCTCTGGGTGGTTTACAAGTTAATTATGCAAGCTACATATCCCGCCCAACAAACTGGGTCCTCATTTTACTGACCTCAGAAGGATAGAAGGCTGAGCCAACCTTAAACTGGCTACCCGGGATTGAATCCTGGATTATGAGCACAGGTTTGGCTGCAGTACAGCATTTACCCACTGCATGACAAGGCTCTTCAGTATGTCTATTTCCCACAGTTTGAGAAAACTGGAGTCATCATATAGAGCACTTGTTCTTAACCTTGGGTTACTCAGGAGTTTTGGACTGCAACTCCCAGAAGCCTTCACCACCAACTGTGCTGGCTAGGGTTTCTGGGAGTTGCAGTTCAAAAACATCCGAGTAACAAAGGTTAAGAACCACTGATATAGAGAATTCCATGTAAATGTCTTTGCACCTCAGAAGACAAGAGTTCTGGGATCTGTGCTTTAATTTATTTACAGCAAAATATTTTTTCTCTCCAGTCAAAACAAGCCTAATTCTAATACAGAGGCCTTATTTAAACTAAGTGATACCGCTACACAACACCCACTATTTTTATATAAAGAGAATGTAAAGAACCAAATTAAACAAACAACCCTTGGCTTCAAATATCCACTTAACCAGTTAATCCAGAAGTTAAACCCTCAGTTATAGCACCTATACATGTCAATGGTTAAAGTGACAATGAATTTCCTGCCACAAATAAGTCATTACGGTAGAAACTAATGAACTTGTTTTGTGACAGATCAAACTATGCTTCTATTCTAAGGGGGAGAGGGGAAGAAAAAGGTTAATTTGATTTCCTTAACGGTTCGCACTAGTCAAAAAAAGAAAGCCTGTACAAGCTGCTAAACCAGGTGTGCTTGAAACATGCTACTTTTGCTCAACAAATGAGCACATCCTTTGCAGATGAAGAGGGTCACAGTAAAGGAGCTAATAAATATGTCCCATAAATATGTCCTCTCAAGTATGTCAGGTAACAGCATAGGGAAATATCTGCCCAAGACCTTGAAGAAAGACACACATAATAAATTGGTGTAACACAGAATATTGGTCTGTCAGCTTTAGCATTACACAGATTTTAAAACAAGTCCTAAACATGCAAATGTTGCAAAATTCAGGACTCTCACTTTCTCATACATCTTTGGGCATGTGGAAAATGGCTCCCCCCTCAAACTCTATCAAAGTAACTGCACAGGGAGTTCTATGACATGGTAGCCTGGACAATGGTTATCTGGGGGCAAGGGCTCGCAAGATTAGGTCTTATCAAAATTGAAATTCTCACTATATAAGTGCCAGGCTGAGATTTGAATAAACATTTCTAAATGCTTCCCTCCTTTTGTCCCTCATCTTTCTAAAACCGGTAAGCAACAAGGAAGGTCTTCAATTTTTATTTTTGTACAGGACCCACTACACAATAGATGCTTTTATAATGCCATAATGGTAAAATTTAAAGCAGGGTGCCATTTGTTAGGCTGAGTGTCAATATCCTACTACCAAGCAAATTTACAATGCTCACCTTTGACAGGAGTAACTTCACACAAGAGACATGGCCTTCATAAACTGCTGAAAGGAGTGGAGTGATACTGTGTTTGTCTGGAGCCTATATAAAGGAGAAAAGAAATTGAATAGTATAAAGTTTACTTAGTGTATACCAATCATGGAACATTTATAATAACTTAATTGTAATACTTCAAAAAGACTTGAAAATTGGTGGTAAAAAGAAGTGAGTGAAGGTTTCCTTATCCTTGGTGATGCCGAAATCTCATTTTTGGGAAGGGCCCCCCTACCAAAAAGGACATGGTTGCATACAACAGTTATAAAGAATCAGCTGCAATACTGTTAAACACAATTATCAGCAGAACTGTCTTATTTCTGTAAAAGCATTTTGCCAAACCTGTGCTCACTGAAAACACCATTAAAGGGCCAAGACATTTGCAAGAGAAGATCAAGAGGAAGGAGGTAGTGATGATACCTGACCTATAATATTTCAGTTTCCCCTTGCAGACACTTTCTCCACACAGTTTTTCTAGGTTTCATTCTCATTTTGGACCCAGGCTTGGGAAAAGTGATTTTAAACAATGGGATTGGGGCATGGACATTAGCAAGGAAGATTCAAAAGACGGGGAAATATCAAACACACCTTGCCAACTCTCTATAAATAATGACTTCCCCTCTTGTAAATAAGGAAAAGTGGAAACCTTGTACAGTGGTGCCTCGCATAGCGACAATAATCGGTGCAGCAAAAATCGCTGCAAAGCGATTTTGTCACTATGCAATATTAAAAAGCCCATAGGAATGCATTGAAACCAATTCAATGCGTCCCTATGGGCTTCAGACTCACCTTTAAGCGAAAATCCTCCATACGGCGGCCATTTTCGCTGCCCGGTAAGCGAGGAATCTGTCCCAGAAAACAGCGGACAGCCATTTTTTTTACCTGCCGGCCATTTTAGAACCGCCGATCAGCTGTTAAAAATCATCGCTTTGCAATGATCGGTAAGCAAAACAGGGTACCAATCGTCGCAAAGCGATTTTTCCCATTCAAAACATCACAATGCAATCGCAAACAGTTAATCGCTATGCGATTTCGTTGTTAAACAGGGCGCCCGTTAAGCGAGGCACAACTGTATCTGCTTTGTATCATCCAACCTCAAGATTTTTAAAATAAAGTTACTCCAAATGAGGGGTCCCCAACCCCCGGTATGTGGCGGTCCATGGGCTTCCTTGAACTGGGGTACTCCAAATGAGGGGTCCCCAAACCCCGGTCTGTGGCGGCCCATGGGCTTCCTTGAACTGGGCCGCGGACATGGCTCTCCACCCCCACATGCACACACAGTAGGCGTGTTGCACTTGCAGGTGGGTATGTCGGGCTCGCAGGCCCAGCCACGAGCCCAACACGCCCATCCATGAGCTCAGGGGTGCCCCCGCCCCCACATCCCTCCAACCAGTCCGTGGTCCCCGTGGTTGAGGACTGCTTCCAAATGACTTTGGACCTTATTTCTTGTTCTAAAAACTGTAGTGACAAGAACAAAGAATATCTTAGACTCTATTTCCACTTCCAATTTGTCTCTTAAATTGTGTGCCCACATTCCATTCTAAAAAGCTACATGAGTTCTTAATGTTTCTGAAATACTTAAATAATATCAAGCATTAGCACTAGAATTGATGATGAAAAATAGGACATGAACTGGTAGATTTTAATTTAAAAAACCCAGATACATTCTATAAACAGTACTTTCCAATAATTGCAACAGTAATTGTAAACATGAATTTTATAACAGGATTCTAATAAAGAAAGAGATGTATTATTTCACATTTCTGACAGTGCCTTATATTACAAACTGCTAAAGAGAGACAAACTCATCATTCAAATACTTGATCCATCAAGATTATTAATTGACAATTAAAAGAGTTAATTAGTTAAAAGCTAGAGACAGAACAGTTCCTCAAAGTACAGAATATAGTAGCAGTAACAACACAGTTGTTTACTCACTCGTTCCATTAGCTCCTTTACTGTGTTGCTTCAAAACATATACAAAAGTTATATAAACAGTGGCAACACTGGGCCAAAATAAATTAATGTGCACACCAAGGGCAACCATCTGACTGCAACATCATATTGCTTTCTAAAACACTATCATTTGTCTCCAGCCAAAGAGAGAAATTTATTTCCAAGCTTCATTGATTTTAATCAACATACATTAATATCAGCTCCTTTTAGTAGAAGGAACTCCAGGATCTCAAGCTGTCCACAATCTGCTGCGTAGTGAAGAGGTTTTCTTCCACCTTCCAGGGTCCGATTAACATCTTCACCCTTCAACATTAAGAAATGTTATTTTATAGTAGTCTTTTCTGAATATTACAATATTTAACACAAACAGTGATCAAGTGACAGTCAGATAAGACAGAATCCAAAATTCTAAGAGGAATTCCATTTTGTATAATTTCTCCCCCTGCACATAAACCATATTCTGAAAGAACACAGGGACTAAAGAGAAAAGGAATCCATCCTCCCTATTCTGCTAAAGGAACCAGTTTTGTCAGCAGAACAGCTTAACTGGACTCCACCGTAAGTCATTACTCAAGCATATTAGAAAAACACAACCAATAACAAAACAGTGTAGTCTTTCTACAGGCTACAGCAATATACAGAAAACTGCCTGCAAAGCAATGTTGCCTATGAAGAATGTAGAGTGTCAGGTTTAGACCCACAATAAGCTTTTCATAGCGTTAGTCACAATGTAAATTGTTTTCTCTCACTTTTATGCATCAAAACCTTTTTTCATCATATCAATTTTTATTCCTGTAATTCAGAAGCAGTCACCTAGATTTCTGATCCATCTGCACATAGCACAAAGGTTCATCATGATTAGTACCACTGGAGCACTTGATGTGGCTAATGGACTAGCAATCCCATTCTAATGTCCCTACAATAATTCTTTAATTTTCAGATGTTTTCAAAGTTTGATCCTGCACTGATTTATATATTCCTAAATTTCTGTTGTTATTATGTGCTGCCAAGTCAATTCCAAGGTATGGTAATCATGGTATTTTTTGTTTTGTGTTTGTTTTAGGTATGTGAGCTTTTCAAGGAGTGATGTCACATCGCCGCCCCCAAGCCAGCTTCCATGGTTGAGTGGGGGACGTGGCCCATGTCTCCAGAGTCCCAGCTTGGTACCATCATCTACAACATAAATTTTGATTAAAGCACCTCAGAATTATCTTCTTTTAACTACATTTCTTTTAACTACATCTTTCCTCTGTGCCCCCCCCAAAGGTTAACAAGTCCCAGGCCAAGGACACAGAATAGTAAACCCTGTATTTTCTTCAGGGTGTAAACACAACACAATCTATGACTAGTTCAGGTGCTAATCAAATACCACAAATGTGAAGCAATCAAAGGACAAAGCACATGCACATGAAAAATGACAGTTAAAAATAGCTTGTGACTGATTACTTGCCACCAGACAATTGAAATTTCTTATCCACAGGTATTATGGTTTTGCAATCTCTGCTTCTAGTTTTTGGAAGTATAATCAGCTTAAAGCAATATGTCCCAGACATGTTGGGCTACAATCCTCATCAACATGAGCGCTTACTCTCTCCCACATGAATGTAACATGCAGGAGCATGTACACATGTAGGCCTCATAAAAATACAATTTGCAACTTGCTTATTCTATAACAGAGTCCACAAAATCAAATTTACAGAAGTACTAATATCACATTTCTTCTCTTTTCTTGTTCAGAACTCTGGAAGTGTTGAAACATACATTTCTAAAAACTCAGAGCCTTACAGGCATTACTGATACAGTATCCTCATCCTGAATAACATTTCTGCTAAAGATTAATCATTTAAATTCCTCTCTTCAATTGCCATCTCAAATTATAAGAGTGAATTAAAATTTTTATTGTCTTTCTCCATTCAATGCACTGTGACATCAACCCATTAAAAAGCACAATGACTAAATTCAGTGATAAATCATTTAATTGTAAAACTCCAAATTTATAATTTAAAATGCTTATTACTTTTTCTTCAGATTATTAAGGCAAGCCAACTATCTGTGCTTTTGTCTCTGCCTTTTACGTTCACCAATTGTTCCCAAAATATTATTTCTTTGGAAACTAAATTCTGTCAAACTGTTAGAGTGCTAATGCCTTCATCCCTGGAGGCTACTGAATGCGCACACCTCAGTCCAACAATCAGAGAATACTGAAGTTGGAAGGGGCCTATAAGGCCACTGAATCCAACCCCTTGCTCATTGCAGGAATACAAATCAAAGGATATCTGCCAGGTGGTTGTCTATATCTTGAATGCCTCCACTTTGAAGTTCAGTGGTGCCTCGCTTAGCGATCGCTCCGTTGAGCGATGAAATCGCTTAGCGATGGGGTTTTGGCCATCGCCAGAGCGATCGCTTAGCGATGGCCCCTATGGGGGAAAATCGCTTTGCGATGATTGCAGGGAAGTGATCATGGCAAAGAGACTGTTTTTGCACAGCTAATCGGCGGTTCCAAAATGGCCACCGGAAAAACAAAATGGCCGACCGCTGTTTTGCCTCGCTTTAGAGGCACCGAAAATGGCCGCCCCTATGGAGGATCTTCGCATAAGGTCAGTTTTTGAGCCCATAGGAACACATTAAACACGTTTTAATGCGTTTCTATGGGCTTTTTAAAATCGCTTAGCAATTAAATCACTTAGCAATGTTTTTTCCTGGAATGGATTAACGTCGCTAAGCGAGGCACCACTGTACTTACCACCTCTTGAAGGAATTGATTCCATGGTTGTACTGCTCTTAATAGTTAGGAAATTCTTCCTGATATTCACCTGAAATCTGTCTTCTTGTAACTTTAGCCCATTCTTACGTGTCCTGCACTCAGGGATGATCAAGAACAGATCCTGCCCCTCCTTTGAATGATGGCCTTTCAAGTATTTGAAAAGTGGTATCATATCTCCCCTCAGTCTTTTCTCAATGCTAAACATGCGGAGCTCTTTCAGTTTTTCCTCATAGGGCTTGGTTTTCTTGTCGCCCTCCTCTGGACTTGTTCGAATTTGTCAGCATCTTTGAAGTGTGATGCTCAGAAATCGAAATAGTAGTCAAGATGAGGTCAAACCAATGCCAAACAGAGGGGAACAAGTACCTTGCAGGATCTGGAGACTATACTTTCATTAATGAAACTTAAAATAGCATTTGCCTTTTTTGTAGCTGCATCACACTGTTGGCTTGTGATTTACAACTCACTTGTAGTATTGCTTCTCACTTGTAGTATTGCTGAGCAAGGTATCCCGCCCATCTTGTAAATCTTTTTCATTTAGCTTTCCAAGTCGCAGTACTTTGTATTTATCCCTGTTAAATTTCATTCTGATGTTTTCAGCCCAGTGCTCAAATCTATTAGATCACTTTGAATTTTATTTCTGTCTTCCAGTGTATTAAATATTCCACACTATTTTGTGTCATTCACAAATCTGATTAGCATTCCCTGCACTCTCTCATTCAGGTCATTAATAAAAATATTGAAGAGCACAGGGCTGCTACTCCATTTGTTACTTCTTCCCAGTTTGAGAAGGAGCCATTAATCATCATCCTCTGAGTATGATTCTGTAGCCAACTGTGTATCCACTTGACAGTTGTTCTATCCAGCCCACACCTAGTTAGCTTGAATATAATGGGACACTCTGTCAAAGGCTTTGCTGAACTCAAGATACACTATGTCTACAGCATTCCCTCTCTCTATCGGGCAGGTTACATGATCAAAAAATGACATCAGATGGAGGAGAGGGGTGGAGCAACGGGTAGCGAGAACAGGGGAATTCTCAGGGCTCTGAGAACTCCTGGGTTTATTCCGAGTCAGCGAACCCCCCCCAAGAAAAAGGGGGGCGGGTTCCCACAGGAGAAGTGGGACTGTAGCAGGGGGGCCAGAGACGCCGAAGAATCCAGACTACAATCTGCTTTTTTCGGAGGAGTTTCTTTTCCTCAATTGCAACTGACTCGTGAAATCGCCATGATGAATTGGTGCGTAGCTGCTCAGAGAAGGGGGAGAAAGGAAGATTTATGATCTGACTGCATCAACAGAAGCTGATCGGCTATCTCTACGGCAAGTAACAGACCAGATGTTTTGTTTCTCTCTGGGAAGTTTGAGTGTGGAGACAATCTCTTAAGCGGCAGAGGATCTTGGCAAACTTTGGAGGTTTTTCTTACTACGCCATAACTGAGAAAGTGAAACTCAATCTGTCTTTCCCACCCCAACCCCACCTCCTAAGGTTTGGCTTTTTATAAATTAGAAGCTTGAGAATCGTGAATGACTATGAACAGCTTAAATTTAAGGAACTTTACTTTGAGCCATAAAGGAGGACTATATATCTGAGGCTCAAATTTCATAACTGAAGACAGATATTAAAGCAATACTTCTTGACTTGGACACTATGATAGCAGGAGACAGACAGTATCTTCTGAATCAGCTGAACAAGTATCGCTAGAGAGAGGGAGAGACCACTGTTCCTGAGGAGGAGACGGGAGATGAAACGATTGACTGCTCTGAACTAAATGAACAACGGCCTCCGGAGAGGCAGAGAGAGACTCTTTTTTTAAAAAAAGCAGAATAAAATACTTTAAAATGAGGAAAGGAGGGGCGGGGACAAGGTGGAGGAGCACATGGATTTTATCCTGATGGAAAATAATATTAAAGAGAAGACATGGGTGAATTTAGAGGCAGGAATTTATGATCAGAGGTCGAATGGATCTATGTTGCTTGGAAATCAAGATATGGATTATATTGAGAGGAAATTAGTAAATCACATAGAAAATGTCTTAATGAAATTTTATAGATGCCATTTTAAAACTGGTAAAAGGGGAGTAAGAAATTAATCTTGAAGTTTGATACTGGAGTAGAGAAGAAAAAGTGAAAAGAGGGGAAAGAATCCTGTGGATTAAATGATAAAATTTCTTGGTCCTGAGAGATATATATTCACACAGAAAGCAATATGAGTAATTACGTTATGAACAATTATGGCCAGATGGGAAGCTAAAAGGTAAAATTTCATAAAGGTCAATGAAGAATACTACTACTAGATGTTTGGACTCTTACGGTTTATATAAAGATCTTAAATATGACTGAATCACTATATTGATTATACAGGTAAAATGAGATTTACAATGGTTTTTTTTACCTGTAAAAGTGGAGATCTTTTAGAAATATATTGAGCTGGCCTAGAGCTTCTATGTGGGGAGGTGTGCATGGCTAAGCTACCTTTATGATGAAATTAGAATTGCTTATGATGAGTACTGGTTAGAGGTGAATGCAGGTGAGAGAATATATA